AAAGCCAGAATATTTGCACACTCACTACAGTGCATGGCAACTACAGATGCCTGAGACTGCCAAAGGGTTTACAATCATCTCCAGATTATGCCCAAGCCTTCATTACCAAGATTCTTAATGGCTTGGATGTTGAAGTCTACATTGATGACATGGGCATCTGGTCCAGTGGACCATTTACCAAACACCTGTCCTTAGTGGATCCTATCCTCAAACKTTTAGCGGAAAATGGAATGAAGTGAAATCTACTCAAGTGTGAATGGGCTGTAAAGGAATCTGATTTCCTAGGGTACTGGCTCACACCGACTGCTTGGCAGAAAAAGGTTGATGGGATCCTTAAGATGGGAATACCACAAAACCAAGAACAAGTCTGATCATTTCTGGGAGCTGTAAACTATTACAATTCTATGTGGCCAAAGAAATTACATGTCATCAGCCCATTGACAGCCCTCACAGGCTCCAGACCTAATATTTGGACACCAGAATGTGATAAGGCGTTTAAAGAGATGAAAGCTCTGCTTGCTCATGATGCCATTAACACCTTTGCAGACTTGGAGGTTCCCTTTGACATCTGCACTGATACTTCTGACTATCAACTTGGAGCAGCAATACTTCAAGCTCAAAGACCCATTGCCTACTGGTCCAAAAAATTAAACAAGACCCAAAGAAATTACACCACCATGGAAAAGGAACTCTTGGCTGTAATTCTTTGCCTCGAGGAGTATCATCAGAATATGTTATATGGAGGACAAATTAATATTTATACTGATTACAAGAATCTAATCTTCTGGACACTTTCTCAGTCCTTGGTTCTCAGATGCATACCTGGCAAGCACAATGTTCTTGCAGATTGTTTCTCTAGAGTGCCCAGAATGGATCCATGCACTGTCAATGATAAAGAAAAGAAGTTGTCTGTCTGTGCCTGTGTCAGCTTTGGGGCATCCTCATTCACCTTGTTGAACAGGTGATCAGCCGCCAGCATCACAGCAGTTCCCCTTAGATCTTTGGGTATGTTCTGGATGATCTCCTCCAAATAATCAAATATAATGAACTTCACTTTCTCTTCTTCAGTGTAATCAATTGTCATCCCCCCATAATCTTGGATCTTTCCATGGGTCTTGGTGAGGGGGGATTCCTTTCCAAACACGTTGTTTAGTTGCTTAATGATGTTGCTAACCACATCTGGATCATGATGGGATATCTTCAAACCGTCCACATGTCATACAATGGTGCACTGTTTGTTGTTAATGATTTTGTTGACCGTGCATGGGTCATATGGATTCCATTCAAACCCCCACTCCTCAAGCTGGCCATACAGCTTCTCCCAGAAAAGAAGCGCTGCATGAAGCATTCCATAGATTTCTTTTTCAGCCCTGGTGAACAGGGTCTTCTTCCCTTTGTTGTTAATTAAGTAATTGCGGTACATCTTTGGATTCACTCTAGTACACAGCAATTTAGCCATTGTTCCATCCAATCTCACACATAAATCCTTGCCCTCCGGCATGGGTGTTTTCAGGAAAGCTCCTGGTATATCCACTGTCGCCACATCCCTGTGTTTGATTGCATCAATCACACAGGACAAGATAAGTTCATGCAGCAACACTGTTGGTGACGCCACATCTTCCTTACATATGTATTCACCTTGTTGCCTACCATCAGCACAGCCTCTTCCTTTTATGTATGTGTTGCGCTTCCTCTTCAGGAACATTAAATACAGCAATGCTTGTGCTGCCACCATCTCCGTTGTTATCTCTGTTGGATGTATAGCGGAGACCATTTCACCATCATGTAGTTATTTAAATTCCTTCAACACTGCATTCACTCCTGCGTCCCCAAAGACCTTAATTCCTTCTTTAACGCTGTACTGTTTGGTTGCCTGTGCGGCCTTGAGGTTGTTGTAACTCTTGATTGCATTAGCCACCATTGTGACTGTATGGTTATCCTTGTACAGCTTCCTAACTGCCTGCTCATAACCAGCAGTGAAGAAAGACCTTGCATGTGTGGTTGACTCAATACCATCAGACTCACCATATTTATTATGTTGCCTACTGGTGTGTGGTCTCAAACGTGAGCTCACTGGCTCGCATTTAGGTTCTGTGACAGGTTCATCGGGTTATGTGATAGACTCATCAAGTCCTGGGTTGTTGTCCTCACCATCCTTGTCAKTGTTGGGGTATTCAGTCTCCAATACCACTCCTTCAGCTGCAGCCTCAGTACCTGACACTTCATTGTCATCCTCACCATGCTGCTGCATCTCTTCTGTGGGTTTGGCTGTAGGGACTGCATCATTCCTGTCCAAAACTATCTCAATTTTTTCCCCAGGCGGATCATCCAGGTCAATCATGTCCTCATCCATGAAGCCTGATAGTTGAGGATTAGTTGACTCACCATCCGGGGTGTAGGTCCCATCAGAAGCGTCATCATCCTCAGTGATCATAGCATCCAGGTCTAAAATGGCTGTGTTCCCATCCTTGTCACCAAAAATGATCCCACTTGGCATCTTTTGTGCTTCAGCAATGTAAGTCACACAGTCCACGATTCCTTTAGTGAGGGGGGTCAGCATTGCCACCAGTGAATTCTCTTTCCCGTGTTGATATCAAAGGCATAGAAACCTCCTGTGATGGATCCAGTTGGTCTGAGATACAGCACGTCAACTGCTTGTGGTTTCATTGTGTTGTCTGTATCATCAACATGTGCTAAGATTGGCTCTATGAATTGGTATTTGCACTCACATGATGTGTCCAAAGGAACCCTGGTCATGATCTCTCATGTGGACATGGTCCTAGTATACACTCCGGATGTCCTACTGTTGAGCCAGTATGCTACTGCGTAGATCAGCTCAATAAGGCACCTCTTTGGGAGCTTCTTGAACAGCAGATGGCTTACATAGCATCTGAGGTTCTCCTTCAACGTACAGTTACTGCGCTTGACAGTTGGTTCATGTTGTCCAGCTGCCACACAGTGTAGTTGAATGGGGTGATCCAGCTGTAGCAAGTCCACACACGGGCACTCAAACTGATTGTCTGCACTTATCTGTGTGACCACAAAGCCATGTGTTTGGTATTGCCCAATCACAGTCTGTACACAGTCCAGTAGAGTTTCCTGTCTAGCGTTAGTTATTGCTGTTGCTGTCCTAAATCAAATGTGTCATGAAATTGTGTGGAAGAACTGCATCATATTCACCGTCAGCATGTCAAGGTGTAGCACAACCTCCCCGTATCTGTCCAGTACCATTGGTGGAACAGGAATTATTTCTTCACGCACATTTTCTCAGGGGGGTCTCACTGTCTTCCCCTTCATGATGCTGGTGGTGTGTTTTCCATATATGGTCTCAGCATTAGTTATGTTGCGCCTTGTGATCCATCTGTTGCTTATGAGCTTATCCGCAACCATCCTAATGACGAGGTCCCTAGATGTTGGGAAGCCCATAGCCTCCTGCAATTTTCTAGCCTTGGCGGCTTGCTACAGTCCAAATCAGAGAACTCAGCTTGCTGTCCCTTGACAGATACAATATCGAGTACTGTTCCTTGATCTTTCTGTAGGTCACAGTAGTACAGATCACACGGGGACCTGCCAAAGCAACACACTTTTCCACATGGCTTATGAACATACAGTGCATTGTCACAAGCTATGTCCATAGTTACTCTGAAGCAATCAGTCACCAGTGCAAGTGATAATATCTTAGCTATACCATGCTCATAGAACCACACCTCTCCAAATCCTGGTAGATCTGCCACGAGGTTGGTATATGCCATGCCTGAGTTACAGTGGATATGCATGCTTCACCCACCATCTGCTGGACATATGTTTTGTACAGTACTAGGTTTGGGTGAACCATTAGATTGCATGACACCTTGCTGTCTAGGAGGATCCAGTTTGGATTCACTGTACCATCATCCTGAGGTGTGTTCCCCTGCTGTGTGAGCAGTGTGTCCACTTTGTGGCTGTAACAAAAATCCACTACGTCTGCAACCCTGTCATCCTCTTCATCCTTCCAGGCCCAATACTTCCAGTCTTCTTTGTCTGTTGTTGTGTTAACACATGATGGTTCTGTTACAAATTGCTGCACATGGCAATGTAAGTGCGTGACCATGCCTTGCTGAAAGAGACATCTACCTTCATCCCCAAAATCTTCATTGTTTTCCACCGCCCTCATGAGTACTTGGTGGCTTGTCAGCATTCCATCATCCTGGTTATCTTCCTCTTCGCTTGTGATATCGTCCAGCGCAAACACATCCCCTTTTGTAACAAACCTTGCAGAGTTATGTCTACTACCGTTTCCTTGTTTCCTGCCATTTTGCTTGTTTGTTCCAGTCTTGCGGCTTCCTTTGAAATGTTTGAGCATGTCCAGCGCTTTTGTTGTTGTTGCTGTTGGGTACTAGTTGTTTGTCCCTAAACTGAATTGGTTCTCAAGCGTTTCCTTGAGGGTACTGGTTTCATCGTTGCTTCCTTCAATTAATATGGTGGCAAGGAACTGTTGCTTGGCTCCTTTCTCAATGGCTGTCTGGACTGTGTTGTCCTTGTCCATACTCACAAATTCACTGTACGTGATATCCTTGTGAGCTGTGTTTGTTTCAAGTTCATACTTAATGAGGGCAGGGGACAGCACACTTCCTCCAATCGCGTCAAGTGCTTCCAGGACATGTGTAGTTGACAGTACATATGTTGTGGCATCACAGAACCTTCTTGTACACATGAGCTTTCTCATACATCTGATTATGTTGGTTGGTGTATGCACCTTTGTCTTGCTTCCTTGGTAGCATATGTCCTGCAGAAGCTTGAGCAAATCAACTGGACATCTAGATGAGTTGATTGCATCCCACTTCTCCAAACTCTTTAACTTCTCCTTCATTCTGTTGTTGATTTGCCTGAGTGCTATTATTCGGGATATTCTCATTCCGGGGTCTCCTTCTCAGTGGCCACGATTACTTTACCATCTGTCCGTCAACAGAAACTATTATTTGCGTTATCGAGCCAATTGTCAACCTCCCTTAGCCGTAGCGATAGAATACCGGTAAGGCTCGTCCATGCAAGGCACTGTCGGCATAAAATAATGATATTCCTGCTTCCAACGTCGTACCTCTGCATATCAATTTGGCGAGGTCGATCTAAATTTATTCTCTGAAAGGTTGGGCGAAACAAAACTTCAAAGTATGCACACCATTTCCAGATTGCGATTCTTCCTTCATCATGCTGCCGTGTTCAGCTTGATTTTCTTATGCCTTCATACCGTGGTATGCCTCCAATCGATATCGTCAAAAAGCAGACGAAAAGTTTTGGAAACTATGTCAAAAAGTGTTTTGACGATATCCTCTGCCAGCACCATCTTAGTAGGTGATCCAATTGTGGGGTATTCACTCACACCGAAAGAGGCAGAAATTGCGTACGATTCATATGCGGCAAACTACGACGAACTCGACGGAGGGAAGGCGGCAGATATTTTTGGTCTCGACGAAGCCCGTTCCGCCTTGTTTCGTCAGGCGCGTGGCTCCGTCCTCGAGATTGGTGTCGGTACCGGCCTTAATTTAGAAAAGTACGACCCGTCCAAGTTGGAATCGCTGACCCTAGTTGATATCAGCCGAGGCATGCTTGGAGAAGCACAGAAGAGATTTGAAGCTATTCCAGCATTGCAACGTGTTCCCGTTCGCTTCATCCAAGCAGATGCAACATCGGGATTGACTGTACGATTTGGAGATGGCTCATTCGATACCGTTGTCGATAGTTTTTCTTTTTGCGTCATGGGATCAAAGGGTGCTCAGTCGTGTTTGGAACAAGTAAAAAATGTAGTCAAGTCCAAGGAGAACAATGGCCAAATCTTGCTTTTGGAAAACACGCGTTCGTCCAACCCGTTGCTTGGACTTTATCAAGATGCGACTGCAGAAGCAGCAGCATCTGCGGGTGGGAAAGGATGTCTTTACAATCAGGATGTCTCAAAAATGATTCAAGCAACTAATGGAATAGAAATAATGAAGGAAACCTCGTTTGCTGGTGGCGTCTTCCGTTCTTATTTTTGCCAAGTCGTTACTTGATTCGTTGGAAACTTCGATGCGCACAAACAAACGTGAGGTACGTACTCGTTTTCGAATTAACAATTTTAACACAATAATCGAAACTTGATTTTTAAAAAGCATTTTGATTCGAAACTTATGCATTGACATTCGGACCTTACAGTATATCAAAGCTACGATGTTAACCCTTGCAAAATGTTAATGCCAGGTACTATGCTATTTTTTTCCTCGTTTGTGCATCGACCTCTGGACCTTGCAGTATTTAACAATTTATGTACATCAGAAGCGACAATTCCATGCCTCGAATCTAGCATCGGGTTCCTGGACCTTCAAGAATTGTCTCTTGGAATGTAAATCCTTCGAATGGATTGTCGCCTAATGGAGTCGTACCTAAAGTACTTCGCATACTACGGGGGCTGAAGATTGGCATACTGGTAAATTCTGCGTCAAACTGACTTGTATCTTGGCTCCCTGTGATTGTTGGCGCCCACGGCGGGGCGATTTGCCCCCTTTGTAGCCTCTCCCAATCAATCGAAGCAAAAAACGGGTGCGGCTTAATTTCTTCTGCATCCTTGGGCCCGCTACCTAGTCGACGAGTAGGGTCCTTGGTCAAGAGACCACGTAGAAGGTGCTTGGAAGTCGATGAAAGACTAGCAGGGTAATGAAGTTCGCTTTTCCTGATTTTCTCAAAAAGACGCTCGCGGTCTTGACAGTAGAACGGTGGAAGACCTGTCAGCATCTCGTACAAAAGCGCCCCCAGACTCCACCAATCAACTCCGCGTCCATGTCCCTGTCGATTAAGGATTTCTGGTGCAAGATATTCAGGAGTACCGCAGAAACTATTGGCACCACTTGAACTGGAGCTGATTCCCTCCTTCGACAGTCCAAAATCAGTTAGTCGAATGTGACCGGATCCATCCAACAGAACATTTTCTGGTTTTAGATCCCTATATATAATATCGAGGCTATGCACATAAGATATGGCAAGAATAATTTCCGCTGCGTAGAAACGGGATCTTGCTTCCGGAAATTTGCCAAGCTTGCCCAGATGAAAAAAAAGCTCTCCGCCTGCACAGTAGTCCAACACGAAAAATAGTTTATCTCTGGATTGGAATGCCATGTTCATTCCAACAATGAAGGGGTGTTTTACGTATCCAAGGACACTTCGTTCTGTCTTCGTGTGTTCAACTTGATTTCTCTTGATGATGTTATCTTTTTTGAGCACCTTCAATGCGAACATCTGGGAAGTTTTGATTTCCTTTACTAAAAAGACCTTACCTATAATGTAAAGGTGTCCCGGAAGGCAACAAATAGGTGGAATACCACAGGGAGAGTGAGTAATCAATGTCGGGGTATGCAAATTTTCAGTTGGATGAACATTGGTTTGGTGACCTGGATAATTCTAAAAGACTCACCAAAAGACCCTTTTCCAATAACTTTAATCATCTTGAAAGCATCAAGACGTGGAGGGGATTCTGGTTTCACTTGATTGAAGCTGCCGCCGATTTGTTGTGATGTTGCGTGTTTCATGGCGCTGCCGATACCTCCGCTGCCAGCACCGGTCATCGCACTACCAAGTTGTAAGCMACCTTGAGGGATTGTTTGTTGCTGCGCCTGCTCACTGGCGTTGATTCCTATGGTTTCTTCCTGGAGCATGATAGATCTTCCGAGGTGAGAGGCGCCCAGGCTTTGAGCTAATGATCCAACATCGTCAATCATTTCAACTTCACCCGCAATAACATTTTGTAGATCCATTTGATCTTCCTCGGTAATTGGATCATCACATGCTTTATATCGAATAGACGCCCGGTATTCTTCTTCGCCATCGCTGTCATCGTCATCATGTTGGCCAATTTCGTCACCGTCGCCGGTTTCAAACATCTCGTCCATAACCATATCATCTAGATTGCCGTCGTCGTAGCCACCAGTTTCGACAGAAGAAGTTTGCGAATTCCCTTGTGCGGTTGTTGGAGATGCGACTTGGCCGTCGGCCGTGAAGATAGTCCAGGATACATTTTCGTATTGCGGGGGGATCATGTTTGGGGCGTAGGTTAAAAAGTTGCTAATCGCTGGGGAATCTCTTGCTCCAGGGTACATCAAAATGGTCTCAAGCCAGTGTTGAAGATGGGTACGAACAGTTACAATAGAATGAAGATCGTTTTGACATCCTGATGCTTGGAAATGTTTCGCAACGTCAGGAAGAGCAGGTAGGTCCATAATTTGCACAGCAAGATTCTGCGCAACAGCGACAAAATCATCTTGCCCACGAATAACAGTCCAAGTTTGGGAAGGTTGTATTACTGTCACGGCATGTACTAAACCTCCTGTGTCTTCTACAGGAGCTGAGGCAGCAATGACGACGCTGAAGTCAATCGATGCCTCGCCAGTCGGTTGCTGCCAAGGAGAAGGAAAGAAATGATAGCAAATCTCAAGTTAGATGAAAGTTTCACTGGAAAACGGGACTGGCAATGTTAATGAAATGCAACTTGAACACTATGGCTCTGTGGCGTATCTTATTTGTTCTCCTACAGTTTCAAAATAATCTATCATTTTCTGGCCTACTTCAGCGGTAACCAAATCGTCATCAGTGAAGATTGGTTATTCCATACCTCGATCACGTGAACCTAAATTTCTTCCACGACTTCTTTTGCACGCAATGAATCACGTAGCATCGCGTAGAGGAGAGTATTTTTCCAGATAGATTACGATCTAACACCTTGGCATTGTATTTCACCAAGCTATAGCGTTCATTCTTAACACATAACCAAAACGTGCACAAAAGAATTACAGAACAACAACAACAACTTTCGTGCTTTCGATATGGAGTGAAAAGTCGAAAATCTTTTCAATATTTTCTCAGACTTATATTGTCTTACCTGTACATTTTGAGGCGACATGTCTTAGTACAGTGTGGTTGTTGATGATACCTACGGTGTAGAGATGCTTTGAGATCCAGAGGAACGATATCAAAAACGCAATCCAGATCGAAGGAGATGATAACCTTGAAGAAGAAAAGGGAAAACAATGTGTAATTACATCATTATGTTCTACCGGTGCTTTCCACACGCATTCACCCCCGTAGAGTATTTTAGTACCCCTTACAGTAGGTACAACCCACACCACAACAGTATGTTTGTCCCAAATTCCAAGAAATTGTTGATGATGACACACTCCCTTGTATCAAGTACGAGTACTCGTAGTGTACGGAGGAACCCTGGAGCGGAGGCCGGTTTGTCATCTTTAAGTGATACCGTACGAAATACCAGGTACTCGTACTCGTACTACGAGTTCGAATACCGTACCTCAGGTGAAGCGGGACGAGTAAGTCTCGATGTTTGAACAGGATGTGTTCGGGTTGCGGAAACGAAACAGATGGACGACAAGAAACGAGAATATAATTCTTTTCTAGTAATTGTTAAGTACAAGTGGGTCCCAAGTCTTACGTTGGCGCCAAAATGGCTTGCGTAGTTCATTTTTCCGGCATTTTTGTGGCAGCTGCAATCAAGCTATTTAATAAAGAATATTTGTGCGTCATTTTTGTTCTTGATTACGTTCACAGAGAAGAATAGCATCGAACGGAAGCCCTATTATTTACAAAAACGGTATTTGGGCGCACAACCGCGCGATCATTTTCTTGATTTTCACCAAAAACAGTCGTTTTGGAGGGATTGAAGAACAACAACTGACTCACTGCTTACTCACTGGCATATGGAAAGGATCTGAGAGAAAAAGCTCGTTTGTCATTGGACAAAACGAATACAACGTTGATTTGCCAACAAGGTACGTACCGGCCGGTAGGGTACGCCAGAAGTTCCGTTATCTATGACATATTTTTTGAACTCAAAGCAAACTCAGCAACGTGGTCAATCAACGGCAGGTACAGTACAAGTAGAATTTAATGAGTTCATCTTCCAGATAGTACGGTACCGTACATGACCCTACAGTATGTACCTGCTGCGAAAGGAATTCACTGCCGTATCCCAATTGACCTGTACCGGTACTGGGCCCTCAGTTACCCACGAGCACATCCCCCTTTTCGAATTCCTCCCCTAGAAAAACGTGGGTTATTTTTGGTGAAAAATAACCCAGCTTGAAATGTGTTTTTTTTAATTTGAAAATAACCCACGAAAGAACCCAGGAATCCACAAATAACCCACAAAAGAACCCACAAATAACCCTCAAATTTACAGTCATCTGGGTTGACGGATGCAACGGACGTACGTACCGAAGAATCAGCTCCGAAGAAAAGAATGGAGGATCATACCATTCCTACGTACCTATCGTAAGGTACGATTCATATCTATATATCATAGGATCCTTCGTAAGAGGTCCGAGGATCGTAAGAGGTCCAAGATATTAGGAGTTAGAATATCTTACGAAGAACATAGACGTCACGAGTCCTGAATAGAAGAACCTCCATGTAGATTCCCTACCAGGTCTACATGAGGTTCTGATCGGAACTTCGGAATTCTCGTGAACGCGCTCAATAATCTTAATCTTATAATTTTAATTTTCATACACACTTAAACATACTAAGAGTACACGTAATCTCKTGCACAGTAATTACTAAGTGATTTTCGTGTATCGAAATTTAATCAACCCTTAAGAAAAACAACCAAAAATACTACACCGACCATGGTGAAATCTTCCACACGATAATGCCTCACCCTCAATGATAGATTCAAAGAGAGTGACATAGATAAGATCAACCTCCTTGTGGACCACCMAGCAAGGACAGAGACCAGCGGTAGAGCATCCAATCAAACAACAGTCGAAATCCCAGCAGTAAGATTGAAAAGAAGCTGTCCAGTCTTCTCYGGGAAGTATGGAGTACAAGAATTATTTTATGTTCAAGAAGGATTTGAAGATGCAATACAAGACTTGGAAATAGCTGATGCAGAAGATGKGCAGATCAACAAGAAATGGATACAGGTATTAGCCCACCGACCGAGACAGAATTGGAACAACATGTGGGAAGGTCCAGACAAATTGAGAATTGGAAAAGACACCAAAGAACAGTGGAAACAAGCCCTTGTCTCATTCAGGGAATTTTATGCACCATCGAAGAGAGCAAGAGATGAGGTGATTACCTACTTGGAGTCAGATGCCATAAAGAAGCCCCACGATGTCMCCTGTCAAGAACATGCAGAGAAGGTCGTTGTTTGTTGTAACAGAGCCAACGTTCTACATGGTATCAAGGGCCCCTTGTCTGAACAAGAGATCCGAGAGATCCTTTTCAACTCCTTCCCCAAAGCTTGGCAAGAAAAATACATTAGCTGTGGAAGGGATGTCATTGAAGATACTCAAACACAGATAGTCAAATTCATGACAGAGCAGAAGGGACTGGCCGATGACAATGAAGAAAGGAAACAACAATCGAAGAAAAGATCAGCAGATGCCACCAACAGCACAAGACAAGGAGGAAGGAATGGGAAACAGAGGAAACGCAACAACAATAATAGGAATAACGGACAGGATGAGACCCCAGAAGAAAAGAGGAATAGGCTCAATGCACAGCCTTGCAGGAAACACAAAGGACAACACCTTTGGGGCGAGTGTCGAGCAAACAAGTATGGTTACAATAGGAACAATAACCAGAGCAACCAGGGGAATTACAGTAACCKAAGCAGCCAGGGGAATTACGGAGGAAACCAGAGCAACCAACATCAGAGCAATTCAAATACAAGCAACAACAGTAGGAAGCCCCTGGGATTGTACTATTTGGATGAGCACGGAAATATGAAACCACACTCAATGCAGATCCAAACTCAGAATTATCATGGCTCCAACTCTAGTGGTCCTCCAAGCCATGTATCACTGCAGTCTAACAGCAATCCAGGATCCACTATTCAATTCCAAGGACAAGGCCCAAACCAACAGTGGTGACACTCTAACGAGGCTTACTTTGCCTTGCCTCCGACACCGAACACTCAATCACCAGCAGATAGCCTTGAGTTCTATGGCCTTGATAATGATGAAGCTCTTAGAAATCCAACAGCGA